GTAATCGTTGTTAATGTTGTTCTGTGTTAATGGCCGAACTGTCTCAAGAACATAGACTGTTTAGAAGTAAGTTAATGGCCGAACTGTCTCAAGAACATAGACATGTGTCAGTTCTCTAGGAATGAACTGGGCAGACAGGCTGACTTTCCTTCTCTCTGCACGTGCTAACATTAGAGTTCTTACACATTGCACCTTTAGGAAGGGAAAGGTCAGTATGGCTGATGGGAAGACAAATGGAAGCATGGTGAAAATTGTGGGAAGGCCCATTTCCCATTTGCTTATGTGCGCATCATAAAACCTATCATGGTATGATCTTTGAAAATGTCCAAATAATTGGAAATAAGAAGGAAGACACACAAGTCCTTAGCTTCCTTGCAGAGCCCTCACTAGCCAGCAGGCATCCTCACGAAGCCCCTGTTGTGCCAGATGACATGCTTGCTTCTGTGGGCCTCCAGGTGGAATGTCTGGCCAAGTAACACTGTCTCCAAAGGATAATACCTAGAAGCAGTGTGCATACTTTCTCATCATGACTTACTGGCCAACTACTTATGGAGGCAAGACTAGTATCTGCTATGGACAGCCAGGGATGGACATGGCAGGGAGAAGTAGAGACCCACAGGGTCTTTCTCTCCTGGCTCCCATGGACTCAAGGTTGGGGCATGGGATGAACAAACCAGGTCACACAACATACAACATATAATGTCACTCTTTATTACAAAACTAAATGACCATAAGTGGAGAAAATACACAGAACATATGGCCAGTAAGATGGTTATGGTCCTGGCCTAAAAGGGAACTTAGGGTTCTTAGACAGACCTCAAGTCTAGTCATGGTTGTGACCTTAGATTGGTGAAAAGAGAAACAAACATGATATAAATGAAGATGAAGATGACATCCAAGGGCTCCTTTTAGGGGATTTTCTTTAAGGCCTTCTCTGGAATCCTGACCTTAGTCTGGAGGAAGTAAAGGAAAGAAGTCAGGAAATCAAAAGAGCCAGGCTCCCTCAGTTTCATTTCTGGCCCACCAAGCCTCCACTATTTTTGCCTTCTTGGAAGTTCAGAAGCATCCATCTTTTACCTACTTAATTCTCAGACCTTACCTGGTGCATAATGAAGACCTGATTAACTCTGGTATAGTTCTACACATTCTCCTGAAGGTTCCTAGAGAGGGAGAAGATCAGATGATATCCATTACTATCACAGTACAGACAACAAAATGTCACTGCTATAGCTTTATTACTCTTTTACTAGGATAAATGCCAGTATGAACACTACTGTAATGATAAAGAGAGATCTAGTAAATACCAAAATATCTCCCACTAACACTCAAGCCCACTAGAATTCATAGCAGAAAAACAGAGGTGTTCAAAAGAACAAGGAGATTTAATACATATTGACTAAAAAAGAGGCTTAAGAAAATAAATGAAAATTAAAATATAAACATTTTCCAGTTATTTTTGTAAATGAGATATAAGGCACATGTAATATTCACCATTTTGAGGTTTACAATGATATGCTTTTCTAATATATTACAAGTTTGTGCAACCCTCACAGTTTAATTTTAATTATCTGAAAAATACAGCAACTACTTACCTACTAGCTACTTAATTCTCCCCATCCTCCCCTTTCCCCAGACCCTGGTGGACATTTATCATCTGTCTTTATAGATTTGTTTATTTGGGACATTTATATAAATAGACTCATACAATGTAGTCCTTTGTGACTGACTTCTCTCACTTAGCATAGAATTTTCAAGGTTCATCCATGTTACATCATATATCAGAACTTCATTCTATTTTATGGCTCAATAATATTCCATTGTGTGGGTATAGCACATTTGATTTATCCATTCATAAATTTATGAGCATTTGGGTTGTTTTCACCTTTTGGCTATTATGGATAACACTTTTATGAACATTCATGTATATGTTTTTTGTGTGAACACATATTTTCATCTCTCTTGGCAGAATTACTGGGTCATATAGTAATCTTGTGTTTAATATTTGAGGAACTGCCAAACTGTTTTCCGTAAGTTCTGTATCATTTTCCATTCTGACCAGCAATGTATAGAGGTTCCAATTTTTCCTTATCTTTGCCAACACTTGTAATTTTCATTTTTAAAATTAACAGCTATCTAGGTGTATGTGAAGTGATATCTCAGTGTATTTTTGATTTGTATTGGGTCGTGGGAAAAGTCATGACACATTTTTGCATAGAAAAAATACGTCATGACTTTTCTGATAACCCAATAATTGCCAGATGAATAATGATGTTGAATATCTTTTTGGACATGTGTACTTTTTGGAGAAATGTTTATTTATATATCTGCCCATTGGAATTGGACTGCTTGTCTTTCTTGAATGTGTTCTAAGAGTTATTTATGTATTCTGGGTATAAGACCCTTATCAGATATATAATATGCAAATATTTTCTCTGAATCTCTGAGTCTTCTTTTTATCTTTGAGTTGTCTTTATTGATAGTGTCCTTTTATGTAAAACAGTTTAAAATTTTGATGAAGTTCACTTTATCAATTTTTTTTTTCTTGTGTTTTTGTAGCCATATATCAGATACCATTGTCTAACTCAAGGTCATGAAGATTTACCTCTCTGTTTTCTTTTAAGAGTTTTACAGTTTTTGTTTCAAACTTTAGGTCTTTGACCCATTTATTTTTATTTTTTTATTGCCTGTGAGATAGAAATATAAATTTATTCTTTTGTGAATAGATATCTCACTGTCTCTGTAACAAAAAAGTGGAGTTTTTACCCATTGAATATTTTTTTAATTTTTTACACTCTGATTGAAAGCCAATTGACCATAAAGATAAGAGTTTTTATTTTAAAATTTTTTTATTCTTGTTTTTAGAGAGATTCTTGCTATAGGGCATGTGCACTTGCCAGAGAGACAGAGAGAAACAGAGATACAGAAAGCAAGAAATCACCTCCCGGGGGGAAATGGCCAGACTGCAATCCCTTCTACCCCATTCCCCTTTCAGAATCTTAGGTATGCACACACACGTACCCGGCATGAGTTATTCTCATTTTATTACTTTGATCTATATGTCTATTTTTAGGCCTGTACCATCCAGTATTGATTACTATTGTAGATTTGTAGTAAGTTTATAATGACCTTGTAATAAGATTCCCAACTTTATTATATTTTTCAATATTATTTTTAGGGACCAGAAGTTGGCATATGTTGCTGGACTCCCATGTAGTTCACTGCAGTTCCGGTCCCAGACCTGGTGGCTTAAACTCACGCCCAGTGTGTGTGCGTGTGTGCCCAAAATCCCAAGAGGAGAATGGAGGAGAATGGACTGTGGCATGACCATCCCTCCTGGGGGGTGAGTTCTTGTTTTCTGTCTCTCTGTCTTTCTCTGTCTTTCTGGCAAGCACACACACCCTATAGCAAAAACCTCTTCAAAGAAAACAGATTATTTTTTTTGTTCTTGGTTCATTGAATTTTCATTTTAATTTTAGGATTAACCTGTACATTTCTTAAAAAATAACTAGCTTAGATTTTGTTGTGGTTTGCAATTGCATTGAATCTGTATATAAATTTGGGAAGTATTGACATTTTAATATAACCAAGCTACATGAAGAAACCAAAGTAACTTCATATTAAACGTGACATAATAGACTAGCCCTTAAAGATGGTTAGCTCCTCTTTGGCTAACTGACCTTTTTTACTGTTTAACTAGCATCAGAATATCTAATTGTAACTTTTCTGAGTTTTCACAGGAGCTGGGTCTTGAAACCACAAGTGACAGAGCAGGTGTGTACAAGAAAATAAAGAGGAAAAAGATACTGACTTGAGAACAAAGCAGCCCTGAGCATAGCTACTCTGGTGCCAAGTCTCCATGGGGCTGTGCAGAAGAGCATGTGGCCCCCTCTGGCTTTCTTATCTTCTTTTCCTTTAAAATACCTTGTCTCGCTGTGCAACTTTGGGGATGATCTTTGAACATTGGTTCACCATCATCCTGGCTCACTGATTTCCTAAATAAAGCTACCTTTCATTTCCAACACTTGTGTTTCAAGCACTGGCCTTTGAGCAGCAGGCAACTGAACTTGGGTTTGGTCATCAGGAAGGACCTGCAATAAATCTGGACACATTAACAATATTAAATCTCC